CTAATGTTTTAATTGTATCTTGTATATATGTTTGTCAGTTGATATTCAGTAACATAACATTTCGTCTTATTTCAATGTTTTTAGTGTATCTTGTATATATGTTTGTCAGTTGATATTCAGTAACATAACGTTTCGTCTTATTTCAATGTTTTTAATGTATCTTGTATGTTTGTCACTTGGCCTTCAGTTCCATCTACTGAGAAGCTTGTTCTTTAATAGCTTTGTTTTCGGATCAATTGATGCTTGAATCACGTCGTATGTAAATATCCAGTGAGTTACTGATTTTTCTTATACATATATAGCATCCTCCCTCTCTCTTCTATATAACTATTAACTGCTGACATTTTGAGCTATTTTAATATAACGTACAATACAATATTGCGTCTGTTGAAATAAAAGTTTTGTTCTAAATCTATTCGATGGAATTAAATGGTGATAAAATGTCATTAAATAGAACGTATAATAAATATAGTTTAATATAGACGTGGAAAATGTTTGAAATACGGTAATAACATTATTTAAGGGGGAATTTGATAAAACTTTAAAGCTAAAAGGAACATTTTATCACAGAATCTTTCTACTCAGATTACAACTCCTATACTCACTGTTATTAAAGTACACAAACGCAAGTATTCACTTCGATTGAGCCAATTATGTATACATTCCCTGCATTAAGCTCGTCTATTTTCAAACAGACAAATTGTGTCTTAGTTTAAGCATGTGTGAATTACCCACTGTGAAATAGAGCGTCCCCCCCTGTTAAACATACTTTTCTGCATAACAAAACTGAGATTTCTCTGACTGGCTGACTGCACGTAAAAAGGTTAAAATAGAACAATTAGGCACATCTGAGTAATATTGCATACATTTCTCAAACATCTCAATTAGTTTACTATAAAAATAATAGAAAAGCTCCTAGTTTTAACATCCGTCAGCTGGGAGGATGGCATATCTTTTTGGAAGTTTAAAATATTAAAATTACTCATACTTTATTGAAACTTCTAAACTTTTTGATGTAATGATCACGTAGTTTTACTTCACGCTTTTTGCTCTTAATGCTTGAGAAAGGGTTTTGCTTTAAATAAGGGTTCATTATTTGAAAGGAAAAATCACTGGTTTTTTGTTTCCATTTTCAACAAAACCACGAATACTTGTAAAGCTCAACTGCTCGAGATGATTATTTTTTCAATCACTTCACCTTAACTGGTCTTCGTTGAAGTGATGCTTTTGAAAACTCATCAGCCGTGATATTGTAACCTTTTATCAATTAATCTTAACATAATAGTATCTCTGAATGCTACGTGCCAGAATATCATGTATTTTGAGCAGTTTTTATCTCACGAAATCGTGTCTCTATATATCGATGTTTACGAATATATTCAAGTTATTAATAAAACAACAAAAACATTGAACTATCTGTAAACTTATCAGTTAAATTCATATAGCATTTTTGACCATGAGAATTATCTCAATCTTCGGAATAAATCGAGTGCAAAGAAAGTAAAAATTATGAAAAACAAAATGAATTTGATTCACCTCAAATTAAAAATTTACCAAATTCCATCAAGAATATACCATTCTGAGTTTCATTGTGCAAAATTCACGCGTTATTATGCTCACAACTTCAGACACGAGTGAATACTCAACTAATTCAGATTTATATGTAAAGCAATATAAGCAGGTCGTGTTAACCCATGAAGATTTCCGAAGCCATCTGTTCTATTTCGTGAAAAAATGTAATTCCTCAACGTATAAAAATTACATTTTATGTTCTGTATTTAAGACGCATTTCTATACTTTTGAACCACTAATATTGTGATTCACGAGAAACATAAGAATATTTCTATCTTCGAAAAACAAATTATATACTGATATTTTTGGCAAAATTCTTGAGCGCTTAAAACTGATAGAAACAATATTCTTATAAAAGAGTTAAATTAAAATGAGGGAGAAATATACAAGTGAAATGTAAGCTGTTTATTTATTATAATACACCCACACTACAAGGTAAATATGACAAAGAAGACGAACGGTTTGTTGTGTTTTTCAAGTTATAGGTACAATATTTGTAGACATTCAAGCTTTAATGTTTTGTGGAACAATCACATTTATTTGCTAACAACTGTATTTTACTGCAGGTATTTCATTCTGGAATATTATAATCATATTTCTAGCCCAAACCTTGGACTCGTTTACTAAAGATATATGTGACACAGGTGAGTCTGTTACGTGTATTGCTTGTCGCATCCCAGTGCTCTATTCATCAAGACAAAAAAAAAACAAAATCGGTTTTATCTTCATCAATCAGTAGGCGTAGCAAAGAGCGTATCAACACAGCTTAAAACTGAGCTCATCGTAGGCCTACAGGCGGATTCTCATGGAGAGCGTGTATGCGTGTTGTACACTGACGTCCCTGACACCAGCCTACGCGTTAATAAGAAGTGTTTTCCGATTGTAAATCCTTTTACGTGTTTAATGATAATTTGAATTTGGTAGCTTCAAAATAATCTGTTAGTTCACCAATTATCATTGTAATTCGCCCGTTCTCTAATAGGTAAGCAAAGTCTTCCGGCTATTGTAAAGGCGACAGAATAAATGCGCGATGTTTGAATTAGTAGCTTAACATGTACTCAAAAATCTGAAATAATAATAAAAACGAGTTATGAGACTCGCTTATCTTTCTAACTGGGAAGCCGCTTCTATAGCCAACTGTTTGCATGTCTTCTAGCTACCTATTTATCTGTTTCTCTATCTATATATCTACTAAAGTGTGTGTAAACATACATGAAGTTCACACATTTCGTCTTTACATCTTCACACGCTGCGTGAGAACATCTTTCACTCCACCTGTAGTATCAAATGTTGCCCATTACGAGTAAGTCGCCGGTTTTAGATGTTATCTCGGCCTTGTTGAGACCTATATCATTTAATGTTTTCTTGGTTGTATTATTGATGGTCACCTGACCTGAG